AGGACGCTCAGGTTAAAAGACAGTGGGGGAGGGGGTGTGAAGAACGTGGACCTGTGGGTGTAATACAGAGGGGGGAGGGTGCGTTACTGACACGGGAATCAAGTCATGAACGCGAAAAAACCTATCGCTTTTATTCATGAACAACTTGAAGATTTGACTGTGTAAATGCTGTTTTGTTTCTCATTACAAAATGGAAAATTTCTTAAATAATAGGCAGGAAGGTGGTTGTAAAATGCTTGTAACTGGTCTCTTCAGACGCTATTCAGTTGTCGGACCTCAGACAACAAATTATAATAACCTCTGTTTATTTGTTAACTATTTACATTGAATTTATCGAACGTGAAATTTCACGTTTGAACTTACTATTGCACCAAAAAGCAATCAGTTCCTGATCATCTTTTGAAATTTTTTTTCTAGAATTTATTTCCTTTCGAAATGATACCTGCTTCATCAACTCGTTTGTAGTTTCTGTAACTATCTTGCCTTCTGTGACTTTTCTCTGAGTTCCAGAGTTTAGAATTGGCGCGACATCAAGAAGTTGTCTTAGGATTAGACTAATCGTCACACCAGCAAACACAAACTCCGAGAGCGAAAGCAAATAATTCAGAACAAGAAAAGCAGATTGGATGTGCAATGTGGTCTCTTCTTCATACGAATGAGATTGGAACTTGAAAAGTGTTCGACGTTTGATGTACAAGCCAAGTGATATATTAATGCTTTTCTTGCGGGTCTTGTTTTCATTCCAGTGAAGTATTTTTGGATTAGGCAAGTTGAACTTGTGTGCCCTGTAGCTAGCATTTTACAAAGTGTAGCTTTTATATATATTTGTTAGTGTAGCATATTTTATGACACAAAAAGATTTGCACCGTTCTTAAACAAAGAAAGTTCTTTGTACAGAGCCAAATACAGCAAAGAAATTTGAAAGTATCCCCCTGTAAGCTCTTAGCGTATATTTGAGATAGAAAATGGCTGCATTATTTCGACCAGTCTTATTGCTGGGGTAGTTTATGGCATTGATAATATTTCTGATTGTATATTGTGGTTTGTAGAACATTTTATTCTCATTAAATCGTCTGTTAATATTTACAATGGTTTTTATAAATGCTCCTTTCTTAGATCTTGGACCCAGGTCTCCCACTGCCAAGCGGAGACAGAGTGAGACTTGGGTACTGGATTGGTAATTCCTGGTTGCGGTCATTCCTGAGCAAGGAGCTTTAGTCTCACAGTGACTCTCTCCACTCGGGGCGCTCTGGGAATACCAATCTTTGAATTGGATGAATTATCTTTTCTTATGTGTGCTGTACCCATATTTGTTTTCGGTCAGTAAGTCAACTTGGTGATATAAACTTGATATTCGGCTAGTCGCTGAGTATTTCGTTTCAAGTCCGCAGGCGAGTTTATGTGCACTTTTTTCTTATTCACACTGACATTATCCCAAGAGTACGAATTTGATTTCTATTTTTTTTGTTTTGGTCCACCTGCACAGACAATTGCATAGAGCAGGTTGAGCTCAGGTGCTGCACTTTCTATCCTGGGATAGAAAGTCTTCTTTTCGCTCAATTTTATGTATTATGGTTTAAATCCGTCAATAATAGCCCATTTTCTAGTTGCCCTAAGCCTCTCTATCAAAGCGAGGCCTGGTGCACAGCCATTCATATGAAAATGAGTTTAATTTGCATGTGAATGAAATCTCATTTTCATATGGAAGGATGGGCACCAGGTTGTTTGGAAATAACCTATTAGGGTTACATACTTCTGGTTTCTGGGTATTTTATGATCAATTACATCACTGGGCTCAGTGACTGCCACTTTCCCGGGCAAGAGGGAGCGCAGGGTTTGATGGTTAGGTAAAC